TTTGACAAAATTGCACGCGACATCTGAAAAAGTTGGGATTACGTCTGAAAAATGCCAACGAACTTTATTCAGGAAAATCTGGCTTTTGAAATTCGGAGAGCGGTGCCTCTTCGATCTTTGAACAAGTGGCTCTGCTGCCTCTTCTTTTATAGAGACATCAATTGTGTTCAAGGGTATGCTCAGAAAGTTGCTGCCTGAGAAATTTCCCCCTTCTTGCATTTCTGAAATTTTATTTGACCTCTGTTTTTCCTTCATCATTTCTGAAAATGACTTGCCCATCTAACATTTGCTTAGATTTGAGTCTTAGGAGTGATACAGACGAGCAGCGTCATGATAATATATGGCGCCCGTCCTTCTTATCTTCTAATGGTCCTCTTACGGTTGGGGACTCTGTGATGAAGAATAACATAACTGCTACTGTGGTAGCTAGGAATCTTCTCACTCCAAGGGATAACAAGATCCTTTCAGAACGGTCTGAAGAGTCGGCCGTTCAAGACTCATTGGCTCTCAGTGTTCAGTGTGCTGGCTCTGTTTCCAATATGGGTCAACGCCTACTTGCTCAAACTCGCCAAGTTGAATTATTGATGGCGGAGGTGGCAAGTCTTAAACAAGAGATCAGAGGGCTCAAACACGAGAATAGGGTGTTACACGTGCTTGCAAATAGTTACTCTACGAGCATGAAAAGAAAGCTCGACCAACTGCAGGAATCTGAAAGTCGAATTCAAAGTGATCACCAGAGGTTTGTTGCTAGATTCCGAAAGCAACTGATGCCTTCCCCTTCTGGTGTTTTGCTAAGTATTGGGGTGTCACATGATCAATCTCCAGTGCCTCCTCCTTCTGGGGTACTTCCGAGTACTGAGGCTGCACATGAGTAACCTTTGTGAAGGCTCCATCCTGTTTGTTTATTTTAACTCATGTGTATGTATATATCTGTAATTTCTTGGAGATATTAATAAATAAGTTTTATTTCATTCAATGTATTGTGCCAAATACAATAAAGCATATACTTCACTAAGATGTGGTACTTCTGGACCAAGTATTAATTTATCTTTACCCTCACGAAGATAAATGATTATTCTTAGTGTCTTCATCATATGAGTATTCAACTCATAATCTTCAATCCATATGGTTCTTTTAATATCATAAATATCATGGATAAGATTCGTGTTGGTAGATTGTTCGATCTGCAGCTCGAAACAATAATTCCTTCAACACTTTATAATTTTTCTAGACTCTTCAGGAGTCCCAATTTAATATCATCAACTCTTCAAGAGTTATAATGTATTGTCATTGACTCTTGCAAGAGATTTTAGTATGTTGCAACAATATCATAATGATAGTACTCACTAAGGCAATTTATATCATCCATTGATATTGAGTATATAATTTATGCTTTACCCTTCGGGGGCTTACTTCAAGCAATTTGAATCCTTCAGGGATTTTCTACACTTCATGACACATTTTCCTTTGGAATTTATACAGAGCAATTTGCTCCCATGTATATTTGAGGGATTTACTTATGGAGATATGATGTGGGTGACTCACAACCCTTCATATATAATTCTCCATTTATATGAACTCGTTTACAACCTTGTGTCATATCATGTAAGTGTATTACACTGTATTACAAATGCTCATATATAACCTCATTGGTTCAACATCTTTTGGCTATTTGTATTACATTCAAATATATAGGTCCATTTTTCCACGTTCTTACAAAATTGTAATGGAATTGCCTTTCTCCATTTTGGCCAATAATTTTTCTTTTGTCGACGAACAAAAGAACGTGACTCAATATTAACACATCTCATTGATGAATTTAGTAGCTACTTGTAAAAACCAAAATTACCATTGGTTATCATCAATCCGTGATCCCATATTCTCATGTGCATGCGCATGCATAAAAGCTTTTCATTTCTTTGGATATCCATTACCTCTTCAAGGGCATGACGCTATCTCTTCCAGGATAGTCATAATTGAGAGAATGTGGATCATAACCTCCTCTTGAGCGTTATAGAGCTTGGATTTTAATCTCCACTTCCGGGAGTTGAGTCATTGGAACCTATATGTCTATTATGCTTCATGTATGAGACATCAACATTCTCATGTCTGTGGATTGTCCTATCTGGGACGTGTATCCATGCGGCGACTGTCATGCTTCTGGCATGCAACAGTTATGCTTCGGGAATGCAATAGTTCAGTAGTGCCATATTATTCTTCTTTCGAATAACTGAACCTTTTGAGTTTAAAAATCTGCCACGCTTCAGGCGTGCAACAGATAAATCATTTATTGTCTCATTATTTTATCCAACAGAGACATCAATTCTTGTAGGCACATTTGCAGTAAGTATATATGATTTCATCACTTTCGTTGCATCATTCAATTATTCATATTTCATTTTCTTATTGATTGCTTCGTGAATCAAAATAAGACAAATTCTCTTCGTTCTTCTGAAACGGTCTTTTCTCATCATTCTTTTGGAATGATATTTTCTCATCGTTCTTCTGGAACGATATTATTTTCTCCCCCTAATGGCAGGAAAATTGTCTTATCAAAATGACAGTCCGCAAACCATGCGGTAAACATATCCCCAATCAAGAATTCCAAATATTGAATGATAGATGGTGTTCAACATCAATGCCTAATCTGCAATGATGCCCCATTTCAGTACGTTGTGGCAGTCTTACAGGCACATAGACAACACAACCAAAAACTCGTAAATGTATAATGTTTGACTAGTTCCCAAACACGAGTTGTACTGAGCAATATTGATGGTTGGAAATTGGTCTCATCCGAACTTAATAATGCGTCATGTAAAATGACATGTCCCCATGTAGAAAACTGGTAATTTCGTTTTCATGAGCAGAGCGCGGGTAATCAATTTCATCCGCTTAATAAATGCTTCTGCTAAACCATTTTAAGTATGGACATAAGGAACTTCTGGTCCTTATTAAATAGTTTATGAACTGAAACTTTTATGACATTTATTATAATTAAGTTGAGGCACTGTGGCACTTCAAACTTAAGGCACTCATCAAGGAATTTCATGTCCTGATCGTCAGGATCAAAGGACTTCATGCCTGATCTTTTTGTATGATGGAACTTCGGGTCCAATCATTTTATATGATGATGATCAAGAAACTGCAGGTTCTGATCTAATCAAGGAACTCTGGGTCCTTGTTATACTCATTGTAATAAAAGATAAGTACAATAAATAAATTAAAGCAATAGACGGTAATTCCAACCATAATGAATAAACAGCATTTAAGTAAATAAAGCTTATGACAAGGGCTTTAATTCAGCACCATCAAAACTTAAAGCAATAGGCGGTAAAACCGTCCATGGTAAATAAATTGCTTTAAAGTAAATAAAGCTTGTGACAAGGGCTTTGATTCAGCACCATTCATATAAATATCAAAGCTTTAAAGCAAAGGGTAATAATTCTACCCACTATAAATAAATTGCTTTAAATAAATAGAACTTGTGACATGGGCTTTAAACCAACACCATGCACATAAATATGCCAAAACAGAAAATGCAATGATTAAGTCCTCATGTTTTGCTTTTCATTTTCTTGGTCTGCCACTTCTTTTGTTTCATCCCTTTTATTTTTATTATTATTTCACAGTTCGAAGTCATTTTTGGTTACTCAGTAAATAATAGTAACAATAAGTTCCAATTGGGGTTCCTCCTCCGGTGAGTTTCGAAAAAGTCGAAACGGTTCCCATAAGTTTTGGAGTCAAGAGTGTCTGCAACTTATGAGAAGATCAAACCGTTAGATTTAGTTCAAAATTTAGTATGATATGGATAAGAGGATACCAAACAACTTTCGTGAAGAAACAATTTCGATTTGAGCTACCGAAATGGAGTTTTGGTACTCATAAGGTGGCTGCCCAGTTTTCTGCGGAAATTGGAAACTGGTTTGGTATTTCAGACATCTGCCACGATCGCACCGTTAACATTTTCTGAAATTTTGATATGTTGTAGATACTGAGCAGACGAACAACTTTCAAGAAGAAAGTATTTCAATCCGAGGTCCGCAAGTTGGAGTTCCGAGGCTATTTACATGGCTGTCAAATTCTCTTACAAATTTTTAGTCTTTTACTCTTTTGCTTCTGCAAAGGATGATATACAGTCATATAACAATATATATAGTTGCTTCAAGAAAATCAATTGTACTGAGATTTGAAGATGAAATGAAAATTGTTTCTTATCTGTGAGATTCCAGCTGAAGGAGGTGAACAGGATTTGTGGCGTTGTGCTTTCCACTGACATGAGAGCTTCTCGTGCTGATAACGTGTTGTAAAATCGACGGTGGGTGCAGTGGAATAAATGAAACAAGACACAAAATTTACGAGGTTCCTCTACAGTCAGTGTGACTGGAGTACGTCCTCGGGACAGCTGTGATGCTTTCATTATAATCTGAAATAATAGGAGTACAAAGATAACTCTCTCTATTATCTCCTCTCATCTTCCTCTATTCTCTCTTCCTCTTCCTTTCTTCCTTTTCCTTCTTCTCTCCCGTGAACCTCACTCACTTCATTCATCTTCTTCCTTTATATAAACAAAAGAAAGCACTATTCACTTTACAAATTTTCCACAAATGAATAGTGAAAATACTGTGCATAAATAGTAACAAACTATTCATGTGGACCATCCACATAATATTTACAACAGAAACTGCAAAACCCAGCTTTGAAAAACTGACTTTTTTCATATCTATTTTACATAAAAGTTTACCAATCACTATAATACTGTTTTTTTTTTTCAAAAGCACTTTTACAAAAAAATTTATCAAACACTCTGCTGTTTTATTTCACAGCCTAGCAGAATCAATTTTTTTTTTCAAATAACAGCTTTACCAAACCAGAATCGTGTTTTTAATACACTAAAAAATTTCTCCTACACGCATGTAAGCGATGGATAACTGTTATTACTGTTAAACAAGTACCTACCAAAAATACGGGCCGTCTATTTGTCTAGTGCGTCAATGGGAAGAAGGAAGAAAATGCTGAGACAAAATTCTCATATATTAAAAGGTAAGGGATGACATTCTGTGCAACTTGATACAAATATTTCCCATCCAATTGGGAGACACATATAGCAATGCTAGTCTCCAGTTTCCCCTTCTATCTTAGGATAAATTCTACGACAAGTTACACAACATCTTAAATTGTCATTGGATTCTACATCCCCCTGAATCTTGTCCACGACGGACATTGCCATAGGCTGACAGTTCGAGAAGATCCATGTCACGACCTGCATTTCAAAGCAATACACTGTCACTTGCTACTAAATTAGTTTGAATTCATCGCTGGAAGAACTTCCACAAGATTTTGGGGTTTCTTGGGCTTACCTGAAACCCGACAATAAGAACTCTTCTGGATGAGCTCGGCTCTAGAAAACTCAGTCCGATTTCCTTTTGATCGATTGACTGTTGCCTACAGTATGCAAGAGAAGATGATTTTATTAAGAGTAAGATGTAACATATAAAATTCATGGCAAACGTCGGTTTCAATCATGATCTGAAATTTGAATGCGACTGTAGAGTGCCAGACTTCATATGAAAGGAAAATGAGACTTTGTGGAGATCGGTCTAAGTTGTTAAGAATCCTAAGATAACTCTAGTAGTGTAGGTATTTTGGCAGCCTTTTGAAGGTCAGCAATATAGAGTAGGAATCTACTGTGTGCTAACATCTACTGGTGAAGGGTTTCTATGGAATGGAGATACCACCCAAAACCAAGATACAAAAATCGTGTAATAGTCCAAGGTTCCAAAGAGGAAGGAAGTCCATACCTGTAAGACCTGGCAATTTTCGAGCGTACTTTGTCCTCCCTGAAATGTGAAAATAAAAAAGATTAATCCTCTCTCCGAAAGTAATTTCAGGGATCAGGAGCCTGGGGAAAACAAAATAAAGAATTACATGTTCAGCTATCAAGATTATCATATTAAATTGGGATGACACAGCAGCCCATTTCTGAGCTCCTTGTTTCCTCTAACCAAGAGCAGCACAAAAGTCCACAGAACGAAACATCTTTGGTGTTGGTTTCCAGACTTTGTCACAAATTTGCGGCACCAAAACCAGTACATTTATGAGTTCACCATAACTTTTCAATCTGCACGAAACAGATTGCAGAACAACCTTCTTCTTGAAATGTGCTAAGTCGCTCCTTTTTCAAAACTAATGTCTCAGCCAATGCATATTCATCACTGGATTATCTTCTAGTGCACTGTCAATCGACTCAATCCTAATCATTTGGAGCCAAGTTGGTAAAAAATGCACCAGTGAATCAAGCCTGCATTACAGTCAGGTGAAATGATCTAGAAAATGGGATTGAATCTCAATATTCCTCAAAGGCCTAAACAAATCCTTCACCTATATTTGTATCACCATGATTAACCATATTCTATCACAGGCTAGTTTGAATTCACATAATTCCACAACACTGGTCATGCCACCCTGCCGCTCTCCACATCTATGGTCGCCATCTAAAATGAAATTTGGGACCTCGTAGTCATTCTGCTCAATCAACTGCCATAACAACTAACAAGACTCCAATTTACCTTACATGCATTTTCCATCAAAGGTGAGAAAAGCTTTCTACCTAAGCTTGTACTAGTACCTATCACCTCCAGTATCGTGCGTGCGTATATTCAAGTAGCAGTTTCATATAACCATGTTCGCTTATATAATAAGCAACGGCTGACTACATAGCTACAAAATAGCTCAACTTTGACAGCAGCATTACTAAATGTATGAAATTCAATAGCACAAGCATTTCCAAATTGCATCTTCTTTCCATACAGAATGCTAAAAATTCCACCCACAGAAATTATAAGATTCTATGGGAAAAGCCACCAAACAAAAAGCAAAGAAATTTGAATTTGTAAATATCAAATGCACCCCAAAAACAGAAACTCAATTTCCAAATCCAAAAGGAACCCACCTCACAAAACTCCAATCACAAACCAAACCACTCAAAAATCCATAAAAATGTGAAATTTAGAGAGAAAGAGAGGAATTTCACCTTGGAGTAAGGCACAATGTGATCATAATCATGACATAAGCAACCGGGGCAACCCACGAGCTTCCGAAAAATGGTGTTTCCGAGAGGGTCACGGCGCCACCGGTCCGGGTCTCGACCTTTGATCTTCTCCGCCTTGTCCCAGCACTGCTGCTTCACGCTGTACGGAAAGCTTCGTGGGTTGTTATTAAAAGAAGAAGAAGTCGCGAGCTCTTCTTCGAAGCGAGTAGTGGCAGTGACGTCGGTGACGACGAGGTCCCGATTGAGAAGAGCGGAGGCGCGAGGCTTCGGTGGGGAGCTGCTACGTCGTTCGAAACGGGCGGAGGGCGCGGCGGTTCGGTCCCTGAGTGGAGACGAAGGGCGGCTCCGCCTCTTTGACTCTTTGCTCGGCCTCATCTTTTCTCAGATCTTTTCTCAGATTATCACAAAACTGGAAAATTTGGAAAATTAAGCCATCCGTAAATGTAAAAGACGATAATACCCCTTAATGTATTTGTGAATTGGTAGGATAGAAACGACGCTATCTATTAGAGGATTAATTACAGCTGCATTCCTTAAAACTCGATTTCTTCTTACTTTATTCTATGAAACTCAAAATGTCTTTCATTTTGTCATGATATGTGAAGAAGTTGAGAACGTTATTATCATGGAAAATGTGAGTGAAGATGATGAGGATTTGTTCATTTTTATTTGTATTGTGTGTTTGTTTGCCACCCGCTCACAATGGGTGAGGCGCCCTACTAACCCTAGTATGATAGGACATGTTTAACGTGACTTCACAAAAGCAGTGAATAAATTTCAAATATTATGCCTCACTTGATCATAGCTCAATCACTCATCAATCGTTTTAATGTCCTGCTTAGTTACTGTGAACACGGAAAATTCCTGAAACGAAAGAGACAAGAACAACGTGCACAAACAAAATATTAGTATTTGATGATTTTGGGTTACAATCTCTCTCTAATTTGATCCTCTGATTCGATCTCCGTAAGGTGTTGATTTGTGGATGTTTCGTTGATCCAAGGGCCGTCGGGGCTTGATCTTGGATGAACTGTTGGAAGTTTCTTCAAAGGGCCGTGGGCTTGATCTTTGAAGGTGGATTTGAGCGGATCTTCAAGGGCTTTTGGGCTTGATCTTGAAGAAACAGTGATGAACAGATCTTCAAGGGCTTTTGGGCTTAATCTTGGATGAACTGTTGGAAGTTTCTTCAAAGGGCCGTGGGCTTGATCTTTGAAGGTGGATTTGAGCGGATCTTCAAGGGCTTTTGGGCTTGATCTTGAAGAAACAGTGATGAACAGATCTTCAAGGGCTTTTGGGCTTAATCTTGGATGAACTGTTGGAAGTTTCTTCAAAGGGCCGTGGGCTTGATCTTTGAAGGTGGATTTGAGCGGATCTTCAAGGGCTTTTGGGCTTGATCTTGAAGAAACAGTGATGAACAGATCTTCAAGGGCTTTTGGGCTTAATCTTGAAGAACGGTTGGATGTGTGGATTTGTCGACGTTTGTTGATCCAAAGGGCCGTTGGGGCTTGATCTTGAAGGTGGATGATTGTTGATCCAAGGGCCGTCGAGGCTTGATCTTGGAAGAACGATGAACGAAGAACGAAGAACACTTTCTTGATTCTTCGGGAACCTGGATGCTTGAGAGCTTCGGAGTTTCAGAGCTTCAGAGCTTCAAGGTGTAATATGAATTGGTTCCTCAAATGAATGAAATGGGCTTGTATTTATAGAATTTTCCAAGGCCTAATTTTGAATATAATATCCCAGATGAAATAAGTCGTTTCTGCCAGGTGTTGACACGTGTCCTATTTGATGACTTTTCCAACTCATTTCAATTTTCGTTGAGTTACACGCTACGTGTAAAATTTATGTAATACATGAGCGTTGACACTTTGATTTATCGGTCAATACCGAAATTTCGATGTCTACAGTTACAAGTCTACGCTACCAGACTCAATAGAATTTGGTCATTTTTACTTGGGAAGGAAGTTAGTGATGAACAGATTCAACGTCCATTGTTTTTTTAGTTTTGTCCTACAAAATCCCTTTACTAATATGGGTAATGAGTTCGATGACATTGTAAAGGGCTCTTGCCCCATTTTTTACCATCGAATTCTAAGAAGGTCTGACGATTTTTCGTCGGCGAAGATGGCGGGTCATATAAAATTCAAGACTGAAATTTCGACCTTGGATATATTTTGGCTTCTTAACATTGTGCTCACAAGTCTTCTCTCGGCAAAAGAAGACTTGAGAGATTAATTTAACTTCTTTTTCACACTTGAAATTTCTCTGCAATTTGGCCTTTCCTGCATGGGAATATGATGCATGCAAAGACCTGGAAATTTCCATGACGTAACGACTGATGCCTAATAAATTAACAAAGAAGAGACAACTAGTAGCAACTCAACAAACTTTCTCTGCAATTTTGTATGAAATTTCCTTCACTTTCTCAAAATTCCTTGGAAACTTATAAGCAACTCTTTAGGTCTGTACAAACCTACCTCCGTTCTGCTTCCCACACTCAACCCTCAAGTCTCTCAACACTCCCAAGTCGTAATTAATTAATTTACGAGCGGTTTAATTAAGCAATCTCTCTACTCTTTTATTTCGACTCGCTAGTTTTCTTCCCACCCACGACATGGAGAAGGCGATGAACGAAGGCATCGGATGCAGCCCCGTTTCACTTGTTGCACTTCTCTCAGTCCTAATCATTCTTAACTGGCTCATTGTACTGCACTTCCAATCGAATTTACGCTACTTGTTTTTATGTTTCCTTTGCGAAGTTATGCAGGTTAAGACCATTTTCCAAAGAAGTTGCACTGATGAGAAAGTATGTGAGCACAAACCATCCAAAGGAGTTGAAACCAACTCTACAACAAGTTCTGATCAAGTCCCCTCGATTCATGCCGCAGAGATTAGTTACACTCGCGAAAATGTTGTAGATGGAAAAAAGAATCTGTGTTTAGGAGAACTAGGACTAGTGATGGAGAAACTAGAAACATTAAGTGAGGGGGAGGGAGGCTCGAAGGAGATTGCTAACTTGTTTGAGGAGGTCCCAAGCTTGGAGGAAGTAAAAGAAGCTTTTCATGTGTTTGATGAGAATGAGGATGGATTCATTGATGCCGGGGAGGTAAAGAAGGTTCTCTCTGTATTGGGTTTCGTTGAAGCTTCGGAAGTGGAATGCGAAAGGATGATCAAGTCGTTTGATGATAACGGAGATGGACGCATAGATTTCAATGAGTTTGTTAAGCTCATGGAGAACAGCTTCCGCTGAGTTACCAACATAAAATGTTCACAGATTTTGGTTAAATGAGTTGCTAAAGCCGCTCGCATCCTTCTCTTTCTTTCTTTCTTTCTTTCTTTCTTTCTTTCTTTCTTTCTTTCTTTCTTTGTGTTAGTTTTAGGTGCCTTGTCAAAGCTTTGAGTATGCCTTTAGGCTCTTATAAACGATTTAATTGCTTTCATGCGTGTCATTGTTGGCCTAGTTTTAGGTGCCTTGTCAAAGTTTCGAGTATGCCTTTAGGCTCTTATAAACAATTTAATTGCTTTCATGCGTGTCATTGTTGGCCAAGATCAACATATTGATTGTTTCGTAAGTATTCGTCGAGCTTGTTTGCTTGCACGGCAACAAGTAAACTGGACTTCCTATCAAGGATTGTTTCATGGAGGGGTTAAATCCATGTCAAGTTCTTTTTCATGCCTTGGTGATAAGGAATTTTATAACTCCGCCGTGTAAGTTTATCTTACATTGCCGGTCCCAAGCCCGGATAAAGGAGGAGGGGGAGGGCGTCAGGTAGTCGACAGCCGGCACTCCATGATCACGTCGAATCCTTATGAAAATGAATCCAGAACGAAATCGCGCTAAAGCTAGGGCGTCACCCGTAAGTGGCGCGCTGTGTGGCCCGAGCACAGTGATAAGTGAGCAAGGGTCGCTGTATCTCCATCGGCACCCGGATGCAGTGTTAAATGAGCAAGGGGGCTATAGAAACTTCTTTTCGAACGACTCCACTCAAAGTTGTTTGGGAGCATATGCTCCTATCAACTTTACACGGGACACACAAAAGAAGTACTTTGATCCTATTAGACGGGGAAGGGTGAAGAAGCTAGGACAGAAGGGTAGAGTTCAAGAGAGCAAAATGCGTTTAGGAACGTGGAATATAGGAACCTTGACGGGAAAATCTATGGAAGTAGTAGAAGTTATGGTGAGGAGAAGGATAAATATTATGTGCCTACAAGAAACTAAGTGGGTTGGTTGTAAGGCAAAGGATCTAGAAAACTCAGGGTTTAAACTATGGTATTCGGGCACAAATAGAACGAGAAACGGTGTTGGCATCATCGTGGACAAGACCTTGACACAAGATGTTGTAGATGTCAAGAGGGTAGGAGATAGAATCATGGCAATCAAGATTGTAATAGGACAAGAACTTATCAATGTGATTAGTGCGTACGCACCTCAAGTAGGGTTGGATACGAGTTCGAAGGAGAAATTTTGGGAAGACCTTGGAGACTTGGTGCAAGGAATTGCTCAGACGGAGAAGTTATTTATTGGAGGAGATTTAAATGGACACGTGGGCAGGGAGACAGGCAACTATGGAGGTTTTCATGGTGGCCATGGTTTTGGGGAGAGAAACGAGGATGGGGAAGCTATCTTGGATTTTGCAATGGCATATGATCTCTTCTTAGCCAACACCTTCTTTAAGAAGAGAGAGAAGAACATGTGATCACCTACAAGAGTGGGTCGTCAAAAAACACAAAATAGATTTTCTTCTAATGAGGAAAAGGGATCGTATAACTTGTAAGGATTGCAAAGTTATACCAGGAGAGAGAGCGTGGCTAATCAACATCGCTTGTTGGTGATGGATGTACATATCAAAAGAGTGAGAAAAAAGAACAAGACTTAGAAGTGTCCAAGGACTAGATGGTGGAATCTAAAAGAAGAAAAACAAGTCATTTTCAAAGAGAAAGTAATCACCCAGTGTGTGTGGGATAGAGAGAGAGAAGCTAACCAAATGTGGGATTCCATGGCTAGTTGTATCCGAAAAGTAGCAAAAGAGGTATTAGGAGAGTCCAAGGGCTTTGCCCCACACCAAAAGGAATCTTGGTGGTGGAATGAGGAGGTACAAGCAAAGGTGAAGGCTAAGAAGGAATGTTGTAAAGCCTTATACAAGGATAAGACCGATGAAAATGGTGAAAGGTATAGAAAAGTGAAGCAAGAGGCGAAGAAAGCTGTGAGAGAAGCTAAGTTAGCGGCTTATGACGATATGTATAAGCGACTAGATACCAAAGAAGGAAAGTTGTATATCTATAAACTAGCTAGAGCAAGGGAAAAGAAGACAAGGGACCTAAACCAAGTGAGGTGCATCAAGGATGAGGATGGAAAGGTTCTTGCTACAGAGAATGCGGTTAAAGACAGATGGAAAGGTTATTTTCATAATCTTTTCAATGAAGGACAAGAAATGAGTGCTTCTTTAGGGGAGTTGAGTAACTCAGAAGAGTGTAGAAATTACTCTTTTTATCGTAGAATCCGGAAGGAAGAAGTGGTTGTAACTTTGAAGAAGATGAAGCATAGAAAAGCAGTAGGCCCAGACGATATACCAATCGAAGTGTGGAAAGTTTTGGGAGAGACAGGTATAACATGGCTCACTGACCTTTTCAATAGGATTTTGAAAACGAAGAAGATGCCGAATGAGTGGCGAATGAGCACTTTGGTGCCTATCTACAAGAATAAGGGCGATGTACAAAATTGCATGAACTATAGGGGTATTAAGCTAATGAGTCATACAATGAAGCTCTGGGAGAAAGTCATTGAGCATAGATTGAGGCAAGAGACACGGGTTTCGGACAACCAATTCGGGTTCATGCCAGGGCGCTCAACCATGGAGGCAATCTATCTCTTACGAAGATTGATGGAAAGATATAGAGATGGGAAAAAGGATTTACACATGGTCTTTATAGATTTGGAAAAAGCGTATGATAGGGTCCCAAGAGACATTCTTTGGAGGATTTTAGAGAAGAATGGAGTACGAGTAGCATATATCCAAGCTATACAGGATATGTATGAAGGAGCAAAGACTGCCGTAAGAACTCATGAAGGACAAACCGAAAGCTTTCCCATAACTGTAGGATTACATCAAGGCTCATCCTTAAGTCCTTACCTTTTTGCGTTGGTAATGGATGAGTTAACAGGACATATTCAAGGTGATATTCCTTGGTGTATGCTTTTCGCAGACGATATAGTGTTGATAGATGAAACTCAGGAAGGGGTAAATGCAAAGCTTAACCTTTGGAGAGAAGTGTTGGAATCTAAAGGTCTTCGCCTAAGCCGATCAAAGACAGAATATATGGAGTGCAAGTTCAATGCAAATGGAGGCCAAAACGAGTTAGGGGTAAGGATTGGAGATCAAGAAATACCAAAGAGCGACCGTTTTCGTTACCTAGGATCTATCTTGCAAAAGAACGGAGAATTAGATGGAGATCTCAACCATAGAATACAAGCTGGATGGATGAAGTGGAAGAGTGTATCCGGCGTGTTGTGTGACCGCCGTATGCCACTGAAGCTCAAGGGAAAATTTTATAGGACGGCAATAAGGCCGGCGATGCTGTATGGCACAGAATGTTGGGCGGTGAAGCATCAACACGTACACAAAATGGGTGTAGCGGAGATGAGGATGCTTCGCTGGATGTGTGGGCACACGAGAAAAGATAAGATTAGGAATGAGGATATCCGGGGTAAAGTAGGAGTAGCCGAAATTGAAGGAAAGATGAGAGAAAATCGGTTACGGTGGTTTGGACATGTGCAAAGAAGGCCTACTGACGCTCCGATTAGAAGATGCGACTATAGGACAGAGGTTCAGGGCCGAAGGGGTAGAGGAAGACCTAGGAAAACTTTGGAAGAGACCCTAAGAAAAGACTTAGAGTACTTGGATCTAACGGATGACATGACACAGGACAGAACACAATGGCGTTCTAAGATTCATATAGCCGATCCCACTCAGTGACTTGGATTTTCCAAGTCTCCAACCGAGAAGTTTTCCTCACTCGGGAAATTAAGGGAACACTACCTCAACCTATATGCTCCACTCACAAAGCTTCAACATACAAGCTTCAACAAAAGAAAATTAAAAAAACTTAGCGAAGAAGGCTTTGGTGTATTTAACACAATACGTTGAAATGAAGAAAAGCTTATTTATTGATATCCTCGATAAGTTACAAATATGTACATATACTTGAGTCAAAATAAACAAACAAGAGGGAGCCTTCACAAAGGTTGCTTAGGAGAAGTCTCAGCAGTCGATAGAGCCCCAGAAAGAGAAGGCACCGGAGGGGGATCATTCGGAGCCTCAGTACTGGACAAAACCCTAGAAGGAGGAGGCATCAGAGGTTGATCATTTGGAGCTTCATTACGCGGTACAGCCCCAGAAGACGAAGGCAATAAATGCCTTTGGAACAAACCCACAAATCTCTGATGATCAAGTAAAACCTGACCATCAGATTCCTTCATCTGGTCAAGCTTCCTCTTCATGTTTGTAGCATAGTCATGTGCGAGCCGGTGCAACTGTTTATTCTCATGCTTGAGCCCTCTAATCTCCTGTTTGAGACTCATCACTTCAGCCGCCAATGATTCAACTTGGCGGGTTCGAGCAAAATAGGCGTTGGGCCATATTAGACACAGAACATGCACACTGAACACTGAGAGCCAGAGAATCCTTAACAGCCAACTCATCAGACCGTTTGGAAAGTAGTCTGTTATCTTTGGGAGTGAGAAGGTTCCTGGCCACTACCGCAGCGGTCATATCATTCTTCATCATGGAATCCCCAACGGTAAGAGGACCAGTAGGGGAGACGAAGGATGGGCGCCATATGTTGTCTGGAGAAGGCGGGGCTGCCTCTTCAACAAGGTTCAAGTCAAAACAACGGTCGGAGGGGCCAGACATTTTCAAATGTGTTGAAGAGAGAAGAGGTCGGACAAATCAAGATCTTAGAAGTGCAAGAATTTAGCTTCTACTAGTGGATCTTCAAGTGTGCTTTGGAACTTAATGTCAGCCCCTATAAAAATCTGCACTCGACGAAGCTTCAAAAATCGAAGAGGCGCCTGCTCAGAAATCGAAGATGCGTTTGCTTTCTCAAAAGCTGGGCTGCTCAGAGACCACGAGGGTCGATCTCAGAAATCGAAGAGGCGTTTGCTTTCTCAAAAGCTGGGCTGCTCAAAGACCACGAATGCCGATCTCAGAAATCGAAGAGGCTTGCTTTCTCAAAAGATGGGCTGCTCAGAGACCACGAGGGCCGATCTCAGAAATCGAAGAGGCACCTACTTTTCCAGCCTTGTCAGCACCTGTCACACGCACACTCAACTTTGTGGAAATTATGGGCATTCTGTCGAAGATTTCTGGCGAAGTAGAAAGCACATGAATCGTACTGTTCAATCACCCACTTCCCACACGCAACAGTAGCTCATGGGTACCACAGATAACTTTGCCAAAGTTCTCTGACAAAGTTGAGACACGTGAAGTTTGCAGCTCCCACTACATCGCTCTGACCAAGAAGGGTAAAAGAATTGCAAAGAAACAACACTAACAAAGTTTAGACACATAAATTTTGAAGGTCTAGCTTCCATATTATTACCCACAAGGGTAAAGGAATAGTACCACTGCTGGATAATTGGAATGTCCCGGTGTGTCAACCTCTGTGCTTCGTGGCAAGGTAGACTAGCAAACATGCCCAACCTTTACTCACATTCGAGAAAAACACTCCCAACAAGATTGCTTGCTCCAAAATCGAAGAGGCACCGCCCTCCGAATCTCGAGAGCCAGACTCCTAACATGATTACTTTCTCAAAAATCGAAGAGAGGGTAAAGGAACAGTACCACTGCTGGATAATTGGAAAGTCCCTGTGAGTCAACCTTTGTGCTTCGTGGCAAGGTAGACTAGCAAACATGCCCAACCTTTACTCACATTCGAGAAAACACTCCCAACAAGATTGCTTGCTCCAAAATCGAAGAGGCACCGCCCTTCGAATCTCGAGAGCCAGACTCCCAACATGATTACTTTCTCAAAAATCGAAGAGATGGTAAAGGAACAGTACCACTGCTGGATAATTGGAAAGTCCCTGTGTGTCAACCTCTATGCTTCGTGGCAAGGTAGACTAGCAAACATGTCCAACCTTTACTCACATTCGAGAGACACTCCCAACAAGATTGCTTGCTCCAAAATCGAAGAGGCACCGCCCTCCGAATCTCGAGAGCCAGACTCCCAACATGATTACTTTCTCAAAAATTGAAGAGACACCGCTCTCCGAATCTCGAGAGCCAGACCCCCAGCAGGATTGCTTTCTCAAAAATCGAAGAGGCATCGTTCTCCGAATCTCGAGAGCCAGATCCCCGACAGGATAGCTTGTTCGAAAACCGAAGAGACACCAATTTCCCAACTTCAAGAGCTGGATCTCCTTGGATAAAGCTTGTCTGTAATCTTCACACGCAACATCAGCTTTCCAGATACCACGCACAGACCACTTTTTCAAAGTGCTCTGACAGAGTTAAAACATGTGAAGCTGGCAGCTCCCACTACCGTGCTATGACCAAGCAGGGTAAAGGAATAACATTATTACTTGATGTTAGGGAGACTCCTATATATGTCGACCTCCATCCCTAATGGACAGGCAGACCAACAAAAATGCTCAACCCTTTCTCTTATCTGAGAGGGCACTCCCAACGAAGCCTTTCGAAATATTCAGCTTTCTTTCCCCCCGATAATACCTCTGTAAACAAGCTATACTAGAGCAAGAATATCTCATATCATCAGGGTTAAAAGCAAGAGTATCCCATATCATGCTTTTTCCCTGTCTTTTCCTTTGGCCTTGTTCTTACCTGCAAGACAAGGAGAAAGAGAGCAATCAGTCAGCACTTGGAATCAAGCTTCCAGCCAGGAACTGACTGCCTGGAACCCCTTACCTGATTACTTACCTGGCATTGCTCTCGAGTACTCATCTTCAACATCTTATGCTTCCAGGGAAGATACCGCATCTGCCTGAGGAACAGATAGGGCAAGTGAGAATGATACAATGAAGCATGTGGAGACAAGCGTAACAGCACACGTGCCGATACATCCACTACTTTGTCAAAAGCAAAAGTATCCCATATCAGCAGGGTCGAACGTACTCTAGATTTGATGGACTTGTTTTGACCCTCAAATTCTTCAGTCGACCTTATACTCTGGAGGAAACCAGAAAACCCTCCAGCCCAGTTCAAGAATAAGCCTGTGGAAAGTTACTTCTTCAAAAGCAAAAGTATCCCATATCATCTCTTCTCATTTTTCTTCTCTTTATCCTTCATGCTGCCTGCAAGATAGGGAGAATGTGAACAATCAGCCGGAGCTCTGATTGCTTACCTTGTCTGTCACCTCTTTCAGCAGATCCCCTAGCTCGGCGACTTGGGGGACTCCTACTACATGGTTTGTATCGCGCTTGACCAAGCATGAAACTACAAGTAAGCTTCAAGTGAAATTGATACATTACCTTGTGCATCTCCACCAGTTACAGATACCACCCCTGGATGGAGGAAGAGTACTTCCAGAGAAGATGCCACATCTACCTATGAGACAGATAAGGCAAGTCAAGACGATACCACATTCCGGTACTTAGAAGTTTCGTGGCTACGAGATCATTCTCCCACAATATTTTCTAATGTCATTTGTACTAAATCATTCACTTGTACTCACTAAAGGAGAGCTTGAACCTATGTACTTGTGTAAACCCTTCACAATTAATGAGAACTCCTCTATTCCGTGGACGTAGTCAATCTGGGTGAACCACGTACATCTTGTGTTTGCTTTCCTATCTCTATCCATTTATATACTTATCCAACTAATGACCGGAGCAATCTAGCGAAGATCACAAAAAGTGACCATTTTCGCTACCTAGGATCTATCTTGCAAGAGAACGGAGAATTAGATGGAGATCTCAACCATAGAATACAAGCTGGATGGATGAAGTGTAAGAGTGCATCCGGCGTGTTGTGTGACCGTCGTAAGCCACTGAAGCTCAAGGGAAAATTTTATAGGACGGCAATAAGGCCAGCGATGCTGTATGGCACAGAATGTTAGGCGGTGAAGCATCAACACGTACACAAAATGGGTGTAGAGGAGATGAGGATACTTCGTGGGATGTATGGGCACACGAGAAAGGATAAGATTGGGAATGAGGATATCCGAGGTAAAGTAGGAGTGGCCAAAATTGAAGGAAATATGAGAGAAAATCGGTTTCGGTGGTTTGGACATGTGCAAAGAAGGCCTACTGACGCTCCGGTTCTAAAATATGACTACGGGACAGAGGTTCAGGGCTGAAGGGGTAGAGGAAGACCTAGGAAAACTTTGGAAGAGACCCTAAGAAAAGACTTGAGTACTTGGATCTAACGGAGGACATGACACAAAACCGAGCGCAATGGCGTTCTAGGATTCATATAGCCGACCCCACTTAGTGGGAAAAGGCTTTGTTGTTGTTGTTGTTGTTGTTGTTGGTGATAAGGAATTTTATATTGATGCCAAGAGAAGACCACAAACTGATTAGAAGTGATCTAAGTCAGTTTGCAATCTTCGTTATGAATGTAAAAGCAGTAAGTGGAACAAAACAGAATATAAGTCAATGGATGAATGTAAAGAGCTGTAAAGACTTGCTGAACATTAATCAAAAGCATAGTAAATTGCATAGAAATATAACAACTTGAAAATAAACAATTAATAAAGTAATCAGACAAAATTAAACCTATTCGGGCAAGTTTTACCTAGAGTCGGGCAAACTTGTCCACCGATAGGGGAAGTGCTAGTAAAGATAGAAAGCGTTTGTGGAAGAGATTTTAATACAAGAGATTGATAATACAAATAATGAGAGCTATAAAGGTAAAAGAGTGTCTGAAGTACAAAAGGAATTTGTAAAAGTAGGCTTGCAGAACTTTGAGTATGTTGAGTTAAGTGTCCCTTTCTTCTTCCTTTATGCTCCCATTTATAGAACCGACTCTTCGTTCTAGAGTAAGCTTTTCTCTCTAAGTTCATTCCCTCTAATTTAAGTTACTGATGTGATTGTTGTTAGATGATGAGTTTTCCCTTGGTAATTCGAGCTTTTATCCTCTCAAAACTACGAGTTTGCAACTTTTTTCAAAAACTGGGCTGGGCACTATTCATTTTGCTGAGAACCCATTAAACTTTTACACTTAAATCCAGTGTTTCCGGATCAACTAGAATGTTGTTTTCATGTCCTAGTAAATATATGAAATCTGATCAAATTGGAGAGGTAGATAAGATTGAGCAGCAAACCAATTGCACTAGCACAAAATTTTTATCTCCAAAAGTAATTAAAGTCTCAAAACATAAAACTTCCAATAGCTACTATAGTTAACAAAACCGACCTAACTAAGACAACCAAAGCTCAATAACCTGTAATGAAAATTAATGGTCAATAATTTTTCTTAACTTTCCGACGTGGGACAACACTCCATATCCTCGTACTGTTGCACTGACTCTGCAAAAAGTGATAATCTTTGTGCTTAAATTGGTAGTGAGAGTAGAGTTGCTAGTGAGAGTAGTTATCGTATAAAAGCGTAATGTACAACTTCGACGATGTAAAAAGGCTTTGTTGGTAAGAGTAGGTATTGTGTTGGAGCGTAATGTACAACAACTCCTATGAAGTGAAAAAGTTTCCAACAAACGAATGGGCCACCATCCGTTTTGTTGTCGAGGGTTGACAATTGGGTCGACAGTCTTTGGCCCAAATTTTCTTCATTCCCGCAATGAACCTCTGTCGACTTTCAGCACCATTACTGTACCTGTCACTCTCTCTCTCTCTCCCCGCCGCAGGGGGCAGCTCGCCGGTGTCGTCGCCCCTGTTTTCGACCCGATAAAGGTAAGAGCTTTGGCCTTTGATTTCCATATTGTTAATTGTATGTTATTTTTTCCTTCCCAATTGACATAGTCCGATTGTGTGGCTAAGAAGAAACACAGATTCATCTTTTTGTTATCGTTTTTTATATAAAGATTTCGGAATTTATACTGTGAATGTGTGTGTGTGTGCGCGCGCGTGTATGTGTGTGTGTGTGTGTATATATATATATATATAACTTGGTCAGAGGAGAAATAAGCAAAACCCAGTTGCATGCTGTTACCCAATTTGTATTTGCAATCAAAGATGGAAGCTTTTCTGATGAATTTTTACAGTTTAATTAGCTAAAAAAGTGTTTAGTTTCATTTTCTGTGTGGTGATTTTTGTTTCTGTGGATGTGTTTTGATGGATAGGATGGTTTCAATGACTATTCCTCAAGGAAGAAACTTTGGGCTTCCATTCATGAACCTTGTCAGATTAAAGGGAATTCCCATTCTCCAACAGCTTCATTTAGAGGAGCAACTGCTTCGGACCTCGTCCGATAATTGGTGCATTATAAATGATGGAACTAATGATCCCGCTATAGTCATGGGTGTTTCGGGGTAAGATGAGCTTCAACACTCCTTGTGACCTTGTTTAAGTTTGTTGGTTCTTTCCTTGACTACCATTACCGAGCTAGTAGCAAACACGTAGATGATGTTGTCGTGATCTGTCCAAGATACGAGTGTCATGCTTGGTCAATCGTAGACATATTTTCCAAATTACATGATTCTGGCTGTGCTCATTCTCTTAGGTTTGTGATTTTGTTATTTATTTAACTCCTTTTTTGTATTGGAGATTGTAAAGGATCCGTGTGTGTTCTGCATAGAAAACCTGCAGAGCTTCTTGAAATTGATTTGGTGTTACGAGACCAGATTCCCGTCATTAGAAGGTTTACTGGAGGTGGTACTGTTACTGTTGATCAGAATACCCTATTTGTCACTTTCATATGCAACAAGGATGCGGTTCCTGGCTTGCAACCATATCCTCGACCTATAATGTCGTGGAGTAGCCTAGTATACAGCAAAGTGTTTGAAGGACTTGCTGATTTTCAGCTTCGTGAAAACGGTACCTTAACTAACCTTTTCTAACATTATTGGTGCTTTAGGCTTATAAGATTATGTGTTTGTTGTGTTTATTACCCTGATTTGTTTTCTTTTTCTTACCTCTTTTGTTTCTTGCTATTTGGATTCGAATTTCTCGATGCAATTTGAGGTTCTTTATTTGATGTTTTCTGTGTGGTATCAAATGTTAGTTTTATGTTTGGACTGTGCCCTAATAACATAATTGGTCCTATCGGAATGTAGATTATGTATTTGGTAACCGCAAGTTTGGTGGGAATGCTCAATCTATTAGTAAAAACCGGTGGATCCACCACACTTCCTTTCTATGGGACTATGAGGTTAGGAACATGGCATACCTGAAGCATCCAAAACGGGTTCCTGAATATCGATTGGTATGTTATGTGTATCAATGTGTGTTTCAAATGTGCCTCAAAGAAAATCTCTGAATTTCACAGCTTAAATAGCCTATTAGTTTATTGCTTGTCATTGAGGCCTATATTTTGATGCTAATATGCTATCTATTTCCTTTGCAGGCAAGAGACCATTTAGAATTCATATGCCACATGAAAGACTACATCCCAAGATCAGTTTTTCTTGAGAAAACTGTTGAGGCAATCGGAACCCATTTCTCCGTGAGACCCGAACAGTCGGACACCATTGAAGCTACCTCGAATACGAAGTTTGTACCCTCAACTAGACTTTTGACAAGGCAGGAATTAGAGGAAGCAGCAGCTTTTGAATCTCAAGCTGAGAGAAATCTCACTCAATCATTGTCATTGTAATGAAAGTGTGAATGCTAAGAAAGACTCTTAAAAGTAGGACTCTCTGCCACCTTATGTTTTTGACGCAATGTTTTATAATGTTGGCACAAGAATTGACGTTAAACTGTGAGGTAACACAAAGTCCATGGAGCTTCACACTGTTGAGAGAGTCTAGTTAGCATTTCTTTTTATTATTCATTAACAATTTTTCAATAAATGTAACCTTTTTTTTCAATCAAAACAAATGTTATATACCTTTTTGGACAATGAATTATATGTCAGTCCATTTTTTTCTTGGGAATTTGCAATGCAAGTAAGTTTTTAAATACATGACCATCGGAGAACTTCAGTACACTTGGGATGCTATTTTCGTTATTACAAACTAATCACGTATTGCCACGTAGTATCTCAACATAATCACATATTTCATTATGAAATGCTAGTAATGCGTGATTGGCTTGGAATAACGCGGTATATGCAAGTTTCTCAACTCGACCAGCCTACCATGTTAACCGCAAAGAGAGCCATGTAGGCTTTCTTGGTGGAGAAGCTTTTCGCATTCCCAACCCAAGATTTTTGTTGTTTTTTCCTCTTTTCATTCTCGGTGCCACTGCAAACTCACAAAGCGCACCGTTCATTACACCTCTCTCTCTCTCTCTTTCTCTCTCTCTCTCAACACACTCTGTCTCTCTCTGCCGCAGTAAATTTCTGGTGGTGGTTCTGCATATTTTAACGACCGAAATCACAGCTTGACCCGTCGTCTGCAAATTCGTAAGCTTTCAATCTTAACACCCCATTTCCTTCCTTCCCTCCATGTTACTCTGCTATTACTTTTTCTGGCTTCCCCTGTATTCGTTTTGAATTTCCCTTTTACCATATTCATAAAAATGTCACCTTTTCACATTGATTTTTAATATTTCTCATTTGGGTCCACGCTTTTGTGGATTTTTATTAAATTTTTTGTTGTTGATTTCGTGGATTATCATCTTTTGGGATTGCAGACATTTGCTTGTATTTGTCATTAGGTGGTCGTTTTCTTTCTGGGATTTTAAGGTTTCACGAGATTGTCTGTTTCACGAGATTGTCTGCTTTTGTGATAAGTAGCCTCTGTTTTTCTGCACAAAACAATTAATTGTTCAGAATTGGGGTGGAGTTTGTTTTTTTTGAATAAATGGTTATCAAGTTCTGGTTCCTGGGATGAAAGCTGCATTTGGAGAAGTGCTTTTTGTTGTGTAATTGAAGTGAGTCAATGTGCATTTCAACAAGAAACAAGAGTATTGAGAAATTTTCGCAGTTGCGCTTCGTAAGATTTTCGAGGGGTTTGCTTGTTGGATTGCAGGATGGGAAGGGTTAAGTTAAAGATAAAGAAACTAGAGAGCAGTGGGAACCGGCAGGTTACGTTTTCAAAACGGAGAAATGGGATCTTGAAGAAAGCTAAGGAGTTATCAATCTTATGTGATGTAGATATTGTCCTTCTCATGTTTTCCCCCACTGGAAGGCCTACATTATTCCAAGGGGAGCGCAGGTATTGTAAGCGGAAAGTTTACATTCGTTCTTTGATCACGATTTTGCAGACAACCTAGCAGTAAACTTTCTATATCATATGCTAATATAGCTCCTTTGCTTTCATGATAATTTTTCAGTAATATTGAAGAGATTATTTCAAAGTTTGCGCAATTAACTCCGCAGGAGAGGGCAAAGAGGTACTACAGTACTTGCAACGAGATTCTGACTTTCTCATTTTCTAGCTGATTTAGTTTGGATGGCATTACAGCTAACTATTTGTCCATTTGTCTTAACAGGAAATTGGAGAGCCTTGAAGTAAGACTTTCACAAATAGCATTTCAAACGGGAACATTTGTTTCTCTTGCTTTTGTTGTATCAAACGAAAACTAACTTATGTCACTTCATCCATTCTATACTTGTATTTTGGTGGTCTTTTTGTGGATATAGGTACTGAAGAAAACTTTTAAGAAGTTGGATCATGACGTTAACGTACAAGATTTCATGAGTTCAAGGTATGTGATTGTTTTTATATAATTTGTCATTTCCTTTGAGTGAAACCTACGGGGATATCTGATGTGGCCCTTTTCTTAATGTTCTTTTTCCCTTCTGTTTCTTGCAGCTCTCAGACGGTTCAGGTATATATTCTTTACCACCAATACCAATACCAATTATAAATGCTTTTCGATTTCTTAGTTTAATTACGACGACTAATGTTTTGTGATAATTTGCTATTGGCAGGATCTGACTCATCAAGTAATGGTATTGCAAGCCCAACTTACAGAACTCCATAGGAGACTGAGGTGCACCTTTGGAGCTTTTGGTTGTTAAAGTATTGCCTTGTCTTTTTGGTCTTGATGGTCAAATTACTAGCATATTACATTGTGTATTTTAGACAATGTAAATTTGATATTAGGGCATTTCAAAGTATGAACTTGATATGATAAAGGAAACAAATAAGCAAAAGTGGTTTAAGTTGCTTACGAGTGTAGTTTAGGGATTCACTGCCCAATTTGGGGGTCAATTTGAGTCTTATTTGTGATTTTCATGTCATGGGTTGAGTTGCACATGCTGTATCCTAATAGCAACCAATATGTAGTATTCAACGGGTTGGCTAGTACGCAGATAACTTGATGTGTTGGACCTTAGCCACCCTAAGAAAATTGTATAAAAACTCTTTTTTCTTTAATTTTCTTGTGTGTTCTTGGTTATATTATTTTTCTCTTGACCTGTTTTCCTATTAAAATTTTCATTGAATTTACAAATGAATATCGGATTCCAATATGTATTGATCAGTAAGATAAATGCATATAAAGAATCCATGTGATAATCAAGCTGTTGCCACTTTTTCAGCTTATGGAGTGACCCAGATAAGGTTGACAATCTTGAACAGCTTCGGCAGATGGAAGACATGCTTAAGGAATCAATCAACCGAACACGTCTGCATAAGGTATCATTTTGTTTTTCAAGTTACAGTAGTTGCACAATAAATTCTAAGGCTTATGCTGTGAAAGAAGAAACAACGAGGGCTTTACAGTTTTGTATACCAAACAGCTGAAAAGTAATGATGAAGTATGAACAGTGATATATGGCTTTGGTTGATTTTGGTGTCATGGTGAGTTTAAGAAGCCATGACTTACCTGATCCGCCTACGCTGCTACTTTGTCTACCTGCTTTGATAGCAACTTATGAGGGGGTGGCTACTGAATCGATGCTAATATTTGATAACTAAACTTGTTAGGAAAATTTGGGAAAACACCAACTAACATCACTAGATTGCACAAATCAGGTAATATATACTTTAGCTGATGAAGAATTAATTCTCTCTCTCTCTCTCTCTCTCTCTCTCTCTCTCTCTCACATCTAATCTGAAGCTTTATTTTTGTGTATCAAAGTTTCAAAATGGAATGCCTTCGTCTTTCTTAGTTGGTGGTTCGCAAGAAGCTCAACCTATAACTTGGCTTTTCAATAGCGACAATCAGCACATGATATTACCGAATGAGCAGAACTATCTGCCACATAGGTTAGTTTACTGCTGTTATGCATCTACCATTGGATATGCCAAAGAGCCTAATGCCTGAGAACTTTCTTTCTGATAAATTACTGATGCTATGATTCTCTCTCTCTCTCTCTCTAGAGGTGTGGAGTGCTCAACAAATACCACAGTTCCACATTATATTCGTTACTTTGGCACTGGGACTAGCACTAGCTCTAGCACCGGAAAACAATCTGAGGCTGGTGATCCATTACAGCTAGATACTATGGGACAAATTTCTAATATGGAAGGAGGCGGTGGCTTCAATGAGTTTGACATTAATGCTTGTTTAAGTACGGAATCTGGTGAGCATTATGCGTATCCAACATATTGTAGTTCTAATGTGCCAGACGATAAGAAAGTGAAGCCGGAGAATGAAATGAACGTACCAGCAAATCCAGTGGATTATCAACTAAGTAGCAACTTTGAACTGCCAAGATCCTTGTATGAAAATGATCATCATGCTTGGCTTTCTTCGCCTGGCCCTAGCGGCATTGCTGTGTACAAGGAGAATACCTACCAGCCGGTGAGCATTCCTTCCATCGATGTTTTTCATTCTGTTTTGGCAAGCTATGAAATAACGGATAAATTATTGGTCTTTGTATATTATCATTCCATTGATGCCTTGCGGCTCTTTGTTTTCGTATCTTGTAGCAACCAAACGTGAGATTGTAGCTGACAAAATCAGGGAAGGATTTACAGGCGCCACGCACCGTGCAAATGATGTGAGTTGTGAAATGTTAACAGTTATCTAAGATATGTATTGATGCTAATAGGCTACTTGGGGCATAGATTAAATCTGTATATATACTGTACAAGACATATAGGATCAGAGTTCATCTGTATACTAACATGGTTGGGTTCCTTAGAGCAACCACCACTTTTGTAAATTATTACTCATAGAAAATGAAAGCAAACATGATGGATTTCTTGAGCTATTTTTGTGATTTATATTATGTTAGCACACAAACGAGCAATTTCTAATCCAGCGAGTCTTGGCAACGGAAAGGTGGTTCCTTTGTGATCAAAAGGTTACGGGTTCAAGTCGTGGAAACAACCTCTTTGCAAAGCAAGGTTAAGGCTGCGTAGGATAGATGTTCCTCCCCCGACCTTCGCAAAGTGGGGAGCCTTGTTGGCTTAGGGTCGCTCTCTTAAACACAATTAAGCAATTTCTAATCCAGTCTAAATTACGAGGAAGGAGATTTGAACTTGGGTGTAGATGGAGCACACGTTTAACGATAATGATAATATTCACCGCCACCATGGTTCCTGTACACTGGTAAAACCTTTGTCTACATTGATGCTCACCTTCCCAATCACTCAAAGACCATTAATTCATTGTTACAAACTAAATAAAAACAGATCTTCCATCTTTTCTGCTTTTGCAATCGATCTAGGAGCCGCTTAGGGTTTGGACAATGGTGTTGTGCCATGGATCTGAGAGGTGCTGCAACAGGTTGTCGAACGGCCCCTTTCCGGTCACATTGTGTTGAACCACAAACCCGAGGAAGGCCAACATTGCCAGTCTCCCTGCATAACACATTTCAAACAACATATTAGACCTTGTTTCAAACATAAAAGCAAACGTGGGTTAGGCTAGTTGGTCAGGGCAGTGTGCGCCCCTTGGTAGTGACATCAAATGCTTACCATTGGCAAGTTCCTTCTCCTTGGCCTCGAGAGTGGGTTCGAAGTTGAGGGGGTTGAAGATGCCACCTGGGTAGCCCACCTCACCTGGGGGCAAGCTGTATTGCTTGAAGATGGGGTCTTGGTTCACACTTCCCGGGTTCTTGATGTCTTGCCACCGTCTGATCTCGACGTAGTGGAACAAGATGAACTCGATCACGAAGAGGGTGGACGAAGAAGCGAAGTACTCGGCCTTTCCGGCATCATACCATTTGGGAACGTTAAGGATCCCAATGCTGGTGAACACTTCAGGCAATAGCATCCCAACAACGCCCAACATTGCCCATCTGCCATTGACAAGCTCAGCTTGGATATACCACCTTAAGTTCTCTGGGTCCTCAGCAAGTGCCAGAGGATCAAATCCATTGTCACCAGGAAGGCTGCCCACAAAAACATATCTTAGTCAATCAATGTTTTTTCCCCAGTCGAAACATTTGTAGGACTTTTTTGTCGGTCATCTAAAAAGGTCGTCGTGCACTCTTTTAAAAAAATTAAGTTGTAATTGGAGATGTGTATTATGGTTATTTTAGAGTGTGAATAATAATATTGTTAGTGTAAACGTGAAATTTTTAACATACCTGCCGGTGAGGTAGTCTGGTGAAGGCAAGCCAGGTAACCACTCACCCTTCTTAGCCTCAACTTTAAAAGAAGAAGCAGGAGGAGAAGCCATAGGCCTAAAAGCCACTTCCCTATTTAACTTACTAGAAGAACCCGAAAGGAACCTCGATTTCGAGTTGACGCATGGCCGGAAAATGGCGGCCGAGGCCTGAGTTGTGACTGTTGCCATTGTTTTCCCCACCTGAATTATGGTCAAGAAAATGGATTTTCAGGCAGGGATGGGGAGTTGGTGGTGTAGAGGAATAGAAGGGTATGGTTGTAAAGGAACATGTAATGGTGTGATGTGAGTCCATGGCTTTGTATATTTGATGCCAAATTGTCAATGAGGGTCTTGTGGAGGTTGTTCTTTGATGGAATTTGACCGTTGGTTTGCAAGATTTTTATGATCCAACGGTGTAGATGTGCTTGTGGTTTGAGATTGGCCAATGGGAAGTCCTTGGACCTTATCTTTTTATCTTTAGGGTTGTATCCATGCAGAGAGAGGATCCTCGCCGGATTCTCTTTGTGAGAATTTTGGGATCCTCCAATCACATTCCTTGATCATACATCGTACGATCAATTTTCGTCAGATATTGTTTATATTTAATTTTAAATAAAAAAAATTACAATAATTTTTGAACGTACAATGTACGATAAACGAATGTGATTTGAGAATTTTCAAAATCCTAAAAAAAAAATCTGACAAAGATCCTCACTCGTATCCACAAATCTATATTTTTGTTGCTGTTGGCTGAAATGAGCTGTGGGTTCCACTTTTGGGCCACGTATGAAGATTTTTTTTTTAACGGGGATATCGATGTGGGATTCTGAATCCTTGGATATGATGATTGGATCTCCTTCCACGTGGAATCTGAGGGAGCCTATAGTTGCATGACAAGTGGCTGACTCAAACTACATCTTAGCTAGTGACTTGGTGCAGCTTCACCTCAATTGCGTTGCATTGTCGACAATTTAAAACATGTGTTATGTGTTATTGATTCGGGATATATGATGATGCCCTAAACATGTAGGATAAGTTTTTTTTTCATGTAAAGTGTGATTCATTTAGTTACAAATGCACATTTAATTAGATCGGTGTGGTATTACTTAATTACTCTTAATTTACGTACACAATTAAAACAAGTAAAAATTTTAATCAAAAATGAAATTTAGACGACATTAACAAACAATGTCTTGTATGAAAACACGAATTTATGTTTGTGCGTATTCTCTTTTTAATTTGGATATGAAATTATTAGTGAAGCTCAAAAGCCGTACACAGTTTGATTTTAACTCAACGTGACATTGAGTCGGAATTTGATAATCGATATAACGGTGAAATTTTAGGAAACTATGTCATCATATAGCTCTTGGAGAGGAGAACTTATTCATTAGTTTTCCACTTAAACCATGAGACAGACATATGCAGCCAAGGATGATTACAATGGCTTATGGGGTAGTAAAGAAGCCTTGACATTTACATATACGTCTTCACATCAATAAAACATTTCCAATTGAAATTTCAGGTACATTTTGAGAAGTTAACAAACAATAAAAAGGTGAAAACTAGACAAGACGACCTATCTCATTCAAGATTTGACTATAAAAAAAAACCTTATGATTAGCTCAAGTGGTGTGAGGGAGGGAGTTTGGACTCTTGCAATAGCAGCTCCCTACCTCAAGAGTCACAATTGCTATCAAAATTAACTGTTATCGATAATTTAGATAGACCAAGACTTTGCTCGCCCTATCTATGCTCGTGCTCACAGGTAGGGACATATCTATGTGACTTGCTAGACTTGCTTGCCCATTTCTTGCTGTAAAAGCAAACCCACCGTTGTAGTTAACTAGCTTTTAGCAATGAGAACATACAAACATCTAATCTAGTACTGATCAAGTCACATAAAAGCATTTAGTACTCATTAACAGAAATATAAAAACGCAATATGTGAAGACGGTGGAGAAAGAGAAAAGAGTTACTGAAACTAGTATTTGGAGTGTCTAAGGCACATGCCTCTGTTAGAGTGAAGTGAAGTCGCATGCGTTGTTCGCCTTATCTCTAGCAGGCTCTGAGCACATACCTAGTAATAGTATATGTGATCAGTTTCGAAAACACACTGTGCTAGCCGTCAAAAGAGCAAAAAGGTTGTCTAAAATCAAAAGAGATAGTAGCCCACTTCAAAGTCCACGTTTAGGCTTGGGCTGTAGCCGAAGTCTGATGGTTAACAAAGAGAGGGGTTATAGATTTTTAGCCCAAGATGTGTAATCGACAAGTTTTATGAACAAAACCATTGCTCTGATTAAACTTATTTAATCACGACGAGTTTTAATTGCACGTATTATCGTAACTTCGAATCACCTTGTTAAAACACGCAGAAATTGTTATGAAGCGGAAATAGATAGAATGGATGCAAAATTCAAGCAACTACTTTCATCCTCTTGAAGAGAGGACAACTTTATTTTACTAAAATCTTACAAGATAAAACGCATTACAATATAATTGAACCAAACCAAACCAAACCACACGGACATCTAAGTAACCTAAAAAAACCTGGCGGGTGGTTTTCTGCCCACCGCTGCCGAAATCTCTGCCTTCCCTTTCCAAAAGAGAGGAGAGCAAAGAAGCACAATAACCCTCATAACTTAATTTGAAATGATAAAAGAGCCCTCTTAATATAAGCCCTTCTCAGGTTTGACTCTAAACACTAAGTTTCAATAACTGTGGCTACACCCAAACAAATGTAATTATAATTTGTTTAAAGTTTATGGTGTTGTTCAGAACTGTAGGCCGCTGAATGTTTGGCCAAAGGTCCAGCCGGCAGGAACAACGTTGTTGGAGACGATCGTGCGGCCGTCGCTGGTTGTGACCTTGAATGAGAGGCTCTGGCCGTTGAGGAAAGAGTTACTCTGCCAGTTTTGGCCCCAGTTCCTTGACATGGGTTGCCAGCCAGTTCTTGACCCTTTGATGGAAACTGCATGAACATCACCAGCACCTCCAACGTTTGTGATCAGCACTAAATTAAAGTATGAGTGACCGTTGATTGTGAATCTGATACCTCCTTTCTTTAAGCAAGGCACCCTGCAAATTTAGAACAAGAAGTAATCAGTCAAAGCAGGAGATAAAGTTTTTGGGTGTGACGGTTAGACTGTCAAATACTTTTAAGTAATTTACGTACTATACTATAAACGGACAACATAATTAATATATTATGGTATAATACTAGCTACTAGTAAATTGTTATAATCATGTGACGATACTACAGTCGCATAATGTTGAGAGGGATAGTTTAAAATTTAAGAAATTGGAAAAGCTGACCTTTGGTAAATTGGTTGGATGGTAAATTGTCAAAAAAAAAAAAAAAACATTTGTGTTATCTGTGAACACCCCTAAGAATTTAAAGGATGTATGTGCAATTTTCCCTTCGAAATTTTTTATTAAATTTCCAAACAGTCCCTACAAAAGTTGAGTCTCGAAACATAAAACAAGCCCAGCCTGAATTGCATACCTTCTGTAAGACACAGGCACAATTCCAGCTCGGTATTGAGCAATCCGCTGGAAGATGGGCTGGGCGAGATCGAAGTGGTGCTGCGGCGGGTTGCACCAACCGCCGGCATTGTTCGGAAGGGCATTGTTTGGCGGGCAGAAATTGGTCGCTGTGACCATAATAGAGCCCGGAAGACACCATTTGGGGTCACTCACACACCTTATCTCAAAACAAGCCCCGCAGCTCAGCCCATTGTTGAACAGTGCTGTGCTCAGAGCTGCCGTGTTAGTTCCATACCCTTGGCTATACAGATTTCCATAGCCACAAGCCCCACCTGCAATTTAGATACATTGAAAGAAAGTTACGAGGGTATTAAAGAATAGACTGTCGATATGGTCTAACAAAATGTACCAACATGTTGTTGACGTAATTATTGATGCATGTATGTTATTTTTAACGTCCTGCAATGTTTACACACCCATTGTTCCGGACGCATCACCTCCACCATAGAAAGTGGCATGTGCATCAACCCAACCACCGTCACCTCCTCCATATCCACAAGCAAAAGAGCTCAAAGAAAGAAGACCCACCAAGAGAAAACCAAGAATTGCCATGTTTTTTCCTGCACAGCAACCTTGTACTTGTTTTTGAAGCAGAAACACCACTTTGGGTAGTGTCAGAAAAGAGAAAGAAGCAAAAGAGGCTTTGTGTTTGTGAGTTGTGAGGAGAAGTGGAGGGGGTGAGGTGGGGGATAAATAGATGCTTGGAGTTGGATGGAAAGGGCAACGTCACACGAACTAAAGTTTTCAGGTGTGGGGACCTTGAACCGCCAAGTGCAAGCGGTTTTATGTATGTGTCTGAAACCAAAGCAAACTTTTTCTTCAAACCACGTGGTTTTGGAGCCATTCACATTTCTGTGTGTGTTGGTGTTGGTGAGTTAAAATTCATATAGATTATTCAAAGACTGAACTAGGGTTCACGACCCCAAAGTGGTTTTTGCAATTTGTACTGATGGCGCGTTACAGAACTGTCATGCCCACTACACTTCATCAATCACTTTTACTAATTTACGTGTTATGACATGTGTGAACAAAAAAAAAATTACCTTAAACGTGATTGCTTAAATGACGATATTCCGAACTAGTACTATACTCTAAGTCTGAGATGACACAATGACATCCTAAAGGGTGTAGTACGCAAGTGTGTCTAACTAGACGTGTAAACAACATGGGCGATATATATGTTATGAACCTCGGATATATTACGCATGTCACAACTTAAGTGACTAGGTGAACACCATGCAAATGAGTTAGTGTCACACTGAAAAATTACTCCAATTGGAATAGTGCATGTGTAAGTCGTAATAACGACCATTAATTGTAGCTATCATTTACTACACCGTTGCACTGAGTCTTTTCGTTGCAGTTTGCCTTTTCCTCTGTTTTCTTTTAGCAGCAGCTTCAGCCTCTTTAGCCAAGAGGAAAACGCATGCAGATGCATCAAATGGTCCCGTGCCGTTAATGTCCAGTCCAAAAAGGTAAAGAAGAAGGACTAATGCGGCTAAAGTGGTTATCATAAATAGTTTACTTTGAATAATCTACAAATACAAAGTTAAGATAAGTAACTAGTTGGTCGATATCCGAAATTTCCAACCCTCTTTCAGTCCATGTCCAATTAAAAGCATGTTGAAATTAACTACCAATAAAGTATATATCTTTTACTTATTCCGTATGCATGGTTGTTGAATGTCGATGAATTCACACATACATATCATTTATTTGAGAACATTGCTTTGCTTTTTACGGTTAATGAAT